CGACTTGTGCGAGAACAGTCGCTCCGGATCCCTGCGAGGTTGTTCCCGCAGTCTTCTTTGGTGCCGCAGTCGAGGAGGAGGCCGGGGCATTCCAAGCATTCGGGTCTTCGCCATCATCCTCGCCATACATTTCGTCCCAGGTGGAACAGTCATGCTCCAATCCTGAGCCATAGGCCTGAACAGTCGGAATCATGGTGTGTCCCATCAGTCGCCATTCGGTCAGGCCACTGTTCGGAAGGGTGGCCAGACGATTCCAGTCCATCATTTCGGAGAGGCAAAGGAGCTGAGGGCCACTCTGGGCATAGCTCATTGCGTCGTCCATTGACATTCGGATGATGCCCATGCTCATTCTGGATGCCTCAGTCGGGACAGTCCAAGTCCATCGGCTTGGAACATTCTTCTCCTCACTCTCCACATGGATGCCATTCTGGGTGCTGATATGGTCAGTGAACTGACGAAATAATTATTCAGTTTCATTTTCTTTGCACCAGTGGTAACGCCGGTCCATTCCCGGACGGCTTCTGCAGTCGATCTCCGGCGCACTACGAAGACCAGTCTTTCATACGGGGCATTCTCGTCGAACGCTCCTTCGCAGAACCATTGAACAGTCTTCCTCATTGCCGTCAGTGCACAGAAGCTGCCATTCAGCTGGTGGCAGGGAAACCTGCTCAGGTCAATCTCGCCAGTCTCAAAGTAGCGCTGGCCAATGCTCGACGGCAGTAGGATCCAGTCGTAGACATGGACCAAGTCATGGACCAGGTTGTCGTAGTCAGTCGGGTCCATGTGCCATTTGATCTCCCAGGTTCCTTTGGTGAGGAACATTCTCTCCGCCTTGGTCATTGCGAACCAGCCAGTCTCCAACATGCACTGATTGACATTGTTGGTGACAGTCGACCTGATCTGCAGAGAGTTCATTCTCAACCTAAGGCTCGACATCGGGCCATTGCTGTGTGCATCAGGATGCTCAAATCGGCATCCCGACAGTCCTCCACTTCTTGTACCAGGCAGGTGGAGGGAGATAATGGGGGCATTCCTCACTCCACTCTCTCTTGTATTTAGCTTCGGCCAGTCGGATCTGTGCATCCATCATTCTGTTGGCCATTTGGCACGCGTCATTCTCGATCTTGTCCATTGCATCTTGGCTGTCGACAGTGACATAGTCATCCAGTCGTCTCCAAATCTTCTTCAATTCTGTGCCAAGATCCATCAGGTTCAGTGCGTTACACACTTCCCGATTCACTTTGCCATTCCTTGACAGTGGGTGACCCCACACTTTCTCGCACATCAGGTGCGTCGTGTCAATCGGGGGAGCCATCCACGATCTCCCAGTCGAGACAGTTGCAGTCTCCGAGGCATTCGCAGCATTCGCGGCAGGAACAGTTGCCGAGGCGGTGGCCTCATTCGGGCCAGGCCTGATTCCCAGTGCTGCATCAATCTGCTGAGGTCCATTCATGACTTCAGCGACCATTACCTCGTCTGCATTCGTCCCCAGTGGGACTTCCACAACGAGCACTCCAGCTGCATTCGGGTCCGGAGTCGGATCAAATCCAGTCGGTCCTCTAGCACTCCGCCGGAAGCATGCAGTGCAACCAGTGAGGTCTGCACTCCATCTTTCTTCACTTCCTCGACCGACACTCCCATCAGGTTGGCCACTTGCTGCGCCAACTCCTCTCCAGTCATTTCTTCATACTGGAGCTCAGGAACAGTCGACAAGGTCGGGGAGGCTGCCATTGCTGCAGTCAGGCAAAGAAGCAGTCGCACAGGCAATCA